CTGTTCGAGTGTACATTTTAGAAGTCGGGGTGCTGCCGTGGGGTTTGAACCTTTGCTGCTCAGGGAGAAGCTCTGGGTTTTGAGTTTTCTCCTGGTTGTGAGATAGCGCGAGGAGGGCTGTGACTCTGTCCCAGCCTCTCCCAGCTGCTTCAGTGTGGTTTTCTCCTCATTCGCTTGATGTGTGCTTATGGCCCAGCCAGCCTTTAGGGTTTTATTTTGTTTTTCAAACTTTTATTATTTTTTTATAGATTTTTATTTATTTGACAGAGAGAGAGAGAGAGAGAGAGAGAGATCACAAGTCTCTGTGAGGCAGAGATGCAGGTGGGGGGGCGGGGGAGCTGGCTCCCCGCTGAGCAGAGAGCCCGATGCGGGGCTCGATCCCAGGACCCTGAGATCACAATCCAAGCCGAAGGCAGAGGCTCAACCCACTGAGCCACCCAGGCACCCCCAGACTTTATTTTAGAGAGAGAGTGTACGTGCTTGTGAATTGGGGGAAGGGCAGAGGGGGAGAGAATCTCAAGCAGGTCCCCTGCTGAGCGCTGAGCCCAATGCAGGACTCGATCCCAAGACCTCAGGATCATGACCTGAGCCAAAGGCAGACGCTCATCCGACTGAACCACACAGGCGTCCCAATAGGTGCTTTCCTAATGATCAGTGACATTGAGCATTGTTCTGTGTGTTTCATATCATCCTGTGTCGGGAGTCTTCTGCTGATTTTCAAGTGTATTGTTTTCTTAGTAAGTTGTAACTGTTCTTTATATAATGTATCTACAGTTTTTCATTGGATGTTTTGTAAATATTTTCCCTTAAACTGAGGCTTGCCCCTTTTTAAAATTGTGGTTAAAAAAACCCATAATCTCCTCTTCTTACCAGTTTTTAAGTGTACATTACAGTGTTAACCATATGCACGCTGTTGTCTAGCAGAGCTTTAGAACTCCTTGGTTTTGTGTGACCAGAGGGCACTGCCAGAGCAGCCGCTTGTGTGGCATGCCTTTGAGCTTCCGTAGCGGAGGCTTTTGAAGAGCAGAGGATTTCTTGATTTCACTGAAGTCCAGTCTGTTTACTTCCAAAATATCTCCGTCTTTAAGAAATCCCGGCCTACCGTGAGATTGCTACGATTTTCTCCTCTGCAGAAATCACGTGTCTTTTTCAGTGTGGTGTAGTTTCTCACATCTGTGGTCCGTGTCAGGGAGAGGCTTGGGCGCGCCGTGAGGTAAAGGTCAGGGTTTCCCTGTAGATTACTTACAGATGACCGCGCACCCGCTCGAGGACCGTGTTCGTGTTCTAGGGCTGCAGAGACAAAATACCTGGGAGTAGGGCGTCCAGCAACAGAAATATTGTCTTAGGGTCTGACATCCAGCTGTGGGCAGGCCTGGCTCTTCCGGGGCCTCTCTCCTGGGCGTGTGGATGCCATCTTCCCGGGGCTGTGTGCTGATCGTCCGAGAACACCAGGCCTGTTGGACTCAGGCCCTTAACACCCTCATTTTTATTTAATCACCTCTTGACAGACGCTCGGTACAAGCTTTTCTCCACTTTTTGCGTTTTTTTCATTTAGTATGTACTGGAGTTCGTTGTACACCCGTACAGAGAGGCGCTCATCTTTCCTTCCAGCAGCGAAACACTCCGTTGGTAGATGAATCATGATTTGACTGACTGGTCCCCTATTGATAGATATTTGGGTCAAATTTCCAGTGTTTTGCTATTACAAATAATTCTGAAATGAATAGCCTAATGCCTCCATCTTTTCCTGTTTTTACCAGCGTATCTGTTGCTAGGGGAGGTTCCGAGACTGGGATCGCTGGGTCGAAGGTTGAGTTGATATTGCATTTTGTGTGGTGACTGTTCTTTAAGCCACTATTAAGAAAATGTTTTGAACAAATTAACATTCTCAAGGATTCAGTGCTATAGTTTGTGCAGACTTCTCTGATATCGTTAAGAGTTTTTCTTTTTGAATTTGCTTTTACCAGTAAACGTGAAAGCTCTGTGGGTGTGTGTGTTTTGGAAACAAAGCGGAGAAAGGAGAGTGCTGTCAGGACCCCTTCCGCTGTCGGGGGAGCTCGGGCCACGCAGTTCTCCTCTGACCAGTAGGTGCCGCTGTTGAGTCAGGATGCGGGTGGGCCGCGCTGGGTGCCGGGTGTCTGCAGCCGCCCAGAGAGCACCCTGCGCCCGCCCTCAGCGGAGGATGTGAGGTTCCAGTGGGCCACAGGTGAAGAACACAGCCAGCTCGTTTGCGGGGAAGCACCCCTTCAGGGCTCCAGGGGAACAAGTGCCGTCTCTACTGTTGTGCTCTCAGGCACCCCCCACCCCTGCCCCAGCGTTTTGTAACTCACCCACTTTAATTTGTTGGTTTTTTTCTTGTAATAAGGTGATTTGACTTTAGACATGAAAACTAGACTGGATTTCAGATGATTGGGTGTGCAGAGCCTGGTGAGCTGGGTTCTGGGATCCCCTGGGGCCGCTTCTGGTCTGCTGTCGCGCAGAGACGTGACGAGGGGCTGAGACAGAGTCTGTCTTGCCCCACCCGAGGGGCTCGGCCTTCCTGGTACTCCTCTTCCTCATTTGCACCTGGTGCCCCCTCCGAGGCGTCTGCTGCCCTGCTTCCCCGGCTTCCTCTGGGCGCCCCCTCTGTCCCTTCCCTTCCCTTCCCGCGGCCCGCTGGGCTGGCATGGCCACATGACACCTGTGGCTCTCAGTGGATCCGGCTGGCTCGTAGCTCATTTTCCTTGTGGAGGACCCGTTCCTGGCAGAATGTGGAGCATTCCTGGTCCCTTCTCCCTCCATGGCGGTGGCACTCCCTAGGAAGGGACAGGCCTGAAGGGAAAGCGGGGATTCTCATGGAATTTTAATTTTAATGTGTTTCCATGAGAATCCCCGCTTTCCCTTCAGGCCTGTCCCTTCCTATTCCGTTGCAGGAATAGTGCTGCCATTTGCTTAGTTGTTTGGCCAGGAACCCGGGAACAGCCTTGTTCTTCCTCTCTGCCTGCAGAACAGCCCCCCCCCCCCCCCCCCGTGACCCTAGTTCTCACTTACTACTGTGACTCAAGCCATCACCTTCCCCGTCCAGACTGTCGTGGTAACAACTCTTAAAATCCTTTATTAATTTGAGGGGCGCCGGGGTGTTTCAGTCAGTTAAGTGTCTGCCTTCGGCTCAGGTCACGGTCTCAGGGTCCTGGGATCGAGCCCTGCGGGTGCATGTCAGGCCCCCTACTCAGCAAGGGTTCCGCTTGTCCCTCTCCCTCTGCCCACCCTCGCCCCCCCCCCCGCTCATGCTCTCTTTCTTCTCTCAAATAAATACATCTTTTTAAAAAAGTTGGTTAATTTGAAGTCAGCTGGTGTGAGGACAGGTGCAGGAAGGACATGTTCCCCTCAGTGAGCTCCCTGAGCATCACTACCCCGGGTGAGCAAGAGTCTGCAGCTCCCCAGGACCCCACAGTGTGGGACCCCCACGCCCCAGAGCAGCTCTGTCTTTGCAGGAGAATCACCACCTTGCTTTGTTTCCCACCGAAGCCTGCGTTCTTAAACGTTGGAGCTCAGCTTGCCGGGTTTTTAATGAACGTAATCCGTGCAATCTAGCGACTTGTGTAGTTCGTGTCGTGTGTTGTGTTGTGCGTATGTATGTAGTGTGAATATGTTGTGTCGATAGGTAGACAGCCTGGCTTCCTCACACAACTTCATGTGTGTAGCGTCATTTATTGTCACTTTGTTGCCTTGTGTGGCTCTGGCACAGTCTCTTAATCTCGTCTACTATAGATAGATATTTGGGTGTTTTCATTTTTGGGGGCTGTTATGGATAACGCTTGTACCAGGGGGTGGTACTCAGCCACAACAAAGCATGAAATCTTGCCGTTTGCGACAACATGGAGGGACCTCGAGAGCGTCACACTAAGTGGAGTAAGACAGAGACGAGTGTCAGGTGGTCTGTCTTGAGTAGGGAATCTTAATCAGAGTGGCCGCTCCCAGACTCAGGACGGCCTCGTGGTAGCCGCGGGGGATCGGCTGTGGGCAGGAAGCGTGGAAGTGGTCGGAAGGTACAGACTTCGCTTATAAAAGGAGCGAGGCCCGGGGATGTCACGCACAGCACGGCGACTGCAGTTGATAATGCCATGTGGTACGTTTGAAAGTTGCCAAGAGAGTAGATCTTAAAGTTCTCATCGAAAGAAAAATTGATTTGTGAGCGTGTGTTGGTGGATGTTAACTAACCAGACGACGTACTGCGCCCATTTCAGAATATAAATGGATACTGACTCCCTGTGTCGTACCTGAAACTAACATGGGATAAGTCAGCTATATCTCAGTTAAAAATAAAAGGAGCCCCTCCAGTGTCACCTTCACAGCGAGGCGTCACTTGCCCCCCACGGGCGCGTCTTTCTCTCACTTTGTCACGTTGTACTCTCCGGTACCCAAACTCTCTTTTCACGAGTGTTCCTTGTCTGCCGTCTCCTTTCACGAGCGCACGAGCTCACTGAAGGCAGGGTCCTTGTCTGTCCTTTGCTCCTGCGTGTCCACTGGCCAGAGGAGTGCTGCGCAGAGACGTGTAATGGATGGTTAGTGCTCAGCCGCGTCTTGTCACGGTGGCCTCGCGGGCTGCTCAGACCGCTGCTGCCCGTGGCTCTGGGCTGCTCCTCAGAGCTCCGAGGGGACCGGGAAGCAAGTGGAAGGATAACCAACAGCATCCGTGTTTGAATGGTCTTGTGACCAGAATTTTAACTGTCTACTTTTTTTTTTTTTAAAGATTTTATTTATTTATTTGACAGAGAGAGATCCCAAGTAGGCAGAGAGGCAGGCAGAGAGAGAGGGGGAAGCAGGCTCCCCGCTGAGCAGAGAGCCCGATGCAGGGCTCGATCCCAGGACCCCGAGATCATGACCGGAGCCGAAGGCAGAGGCTTTAACCCACTGAGCCCCCCAGGCGCCCCTCTTATATACTTTTAAAAAGTGTTTTGTTAAAATGCCAACCTAATACACATTGTATTTCATAATGGTTTTACTTTTTCGTTTTATAGAATTAACACTGAATCCTCCAGAAGGAATTGTGGCAGGTAAGGCACTGCAGTTAACCTCTTTATAATCTACTTCTGATCGCCAGTGTTACCTTCACAATTAATTGTGGAAATTGTTTTCCCCTGCAGGCCCCATGAATGAAGAGAACTTTTTCGAGTGGGAGGCACTGATCATGTAAGCTCGTTACACGTGTTTCTGGTTTTCAAGACTTTCCCGGACACGAGACCTTTGAATCCCTTCAGCGGCCGTGTGGTGCTTCCAAGTGTCCGTTTCTTCCTGCGTTTCCCGAGTTGAGCTCTTCCTAGTCTGCTCGTCTCAGAGCAGAGAACAGCACAGAGGTGCATCCTGACAAGCGGAAATGTTTCCTTAGAGCCAGTGAAAGGTTTAGTCGATGTTGTATTTCTAGAGTTTTACAGTAATTAAGAAGTTTTTTTTAAAGATTGTATTTATTTGACAGAGGGCGAGCGAGCGAGCAGAGGCAGGGGGAGCGGCCGAGGGAGAAGCAGGCTCCCCACTGAGTAGGGAGCCCGATGCGGCGCTCGATCCCAGGACTCTGGGGTCACATCCTGAGTCCGAGGTGGACACTTAACCGACTGAGCCCCCCAGATGCCACACACTAATACGTTTTGAACGTTGTGTGGCTGCGCTGGCGGTTCTCACCTCGGGAGTCCCCAAGAGCCCTCAGCTCTGAATGGAGATGGGCCCCTCAGGATGTGAGTGAGCCTCTGGCCCTACACACCTGTGCACCCACACTTCCCTCTTCCTCTCGTCCCCACGGCGCCCCTCATCTGCTGCTGCCGCTCTCTCCGGGCACCTTGTCTGGCTTTCCGTGGTCCCTGACCCCGGCACGCGGCTTAGTTCTGCGGCCAGCAGTGTGGTTCCTCGCCCTGCTGTGGAAAGCTCATGCGTGGATTTCCCATTTCACTTAGTGATGTTACTTCAGGGGGTCACAAACAGACCCCCGGATCTAGAATGTTCTAGATTCCTGTGACCCAGACGCTTTGTTTGCCTTCCTCCTACTTTACGTGAGCAGTTTCTGCATTACTGTCCTGTCTGAGACCTGCTGTATTTTCAGCAGAACGTGCTTCAGTAACGTTTGTGAAGTTGTGAGGTGATCCCCGGCCTCTCTGTTTTCTCTGTGGGAAGACGAGATGCCTCAGTCAGTTGGCAGGTGCTGGGGCTGGATTTTGTTGGGTTGAGGAGTGCTCTGTGGGAAGGGCAGGGGCAGCCGGGCCTTCAGCACCGTCCCCACCCCTTGGGGGTCTGCCTAGGGCCAGCGTCACATTAGCTCTTCATGCTTCCCATGCTTGAGGAGCACTGATAGTGTCGTCCCTGGAGGTTAGAGTAACGTATGGAAATTGATGAGAAGAATGAGGGTTTTTGATAAAGCAAAATATTTTAGACGGTCCAGAGAAGATACAGCATGCGTGCCATCTGATGGCTTGGGCCTGTAATGCCCACTGTTTTTCGCGTGCTGAAATGTTCCTGGCATGAGGATGTCTTTGCAGTCTGTACTTCTGTCTCATCTTGTGTCTTTTGTCCCCTGAAGCAATTACCATGGGATGGCGAGTGTCCGGCTCAGCAGTGCCCTGCGTCTGCTGGAACATGGCACTGGCTGCTGTGTCCGCTACAAAGCCTTTTATTTTTAAGGAACCAGCAGATTATATCATTGGAACTTGAGTCATAGCCGTGCTTTTCCACTTGCTGTATACTGTGTGTTCTCTCCGTGTTCACGCAGGCAGCTGTGCGTGCCACCTGGCCGCGAGCCTTTGGGGAGGGACACGGGGCTTTGGAAGGCTTGAGTGCAGAGGTGAGTGGCCCCTGGCAGGTCTGACAGCTTGCAGGAGAGTGGCTCATGCCCGTTGGCAGGCTTAGTTAGAAGCCCTCTAAGGGACATGGGAGCCTTCCGGTATGATTTCTAAAGTGTTGGGATAACTAAACCTGATAGGGTAAGTGTCACTAATTTTAGATAAACACTATAATATTTAACCAGTATTTTGAAAACACGGTAATAATGAGATGCAAAGGCAACAGAAGCAGAAATCAAGAAGCAGGACAACGTCCAACTGGAAAGCTTCTGCTCAGTGCAGGAAGCCATCGACAGGACAAAAAGGCCACCTGCGGGATGGGAGAAGAGGTTTGCAATCCCGTGCCTGTGGTCTCTCCAAAATACATGAAGACCTGGCAGAACTCAACTCCAAAAATTTAAATCATCTGATTTAACAATGGGCTGAGGACCTGAATAGACGCTTTTCTGAAGAAGACACACAGATGGCTGGCAGGTGCGTGGAAAGGTGCTCGCGTCACTTGGCGTCCCGGGAGTGCGCGTCAGGACCCCAGGGAGGCGTCACCTCCCACCAGTCAGCGCGGGCGTCACACAGAAAGACCAGAAACCACGGTGCTGGCAAGGCTGCAGAGAGGGGAGCCGTGTCACCCTGCTGGTGGGAATGCCAGCTGCTGCACCCGCTCCGGAAAACCGTGGGGGGCGTCCCCAAAACAAACAGTGTAGTACTGAGCCTTTGCCCAGGGACAGCGCGCACCCTGGCTCAGAAAGCCTGACGTCGGCACCCCGTGTTCCCCCCGGTAGCAGTATTTACAGCAGCCAAGACCTGGAAGCAGCCAGAGTTGCTGTCCAGCGATGGGCAAGTGGACAGAACAGGCGGTGTGTGTACACACGCATGTGCGCGCACAGGGGATAACGGCCTTAAAAAGGAAGGAAGTCTTGCCATTGATGAAAACGTGGATGGACCTTGAGGATATTATACTAAGTGAAATGAGTCAGAGGAAGAGAAATACCGTACGATCTCACAGGTGAGATCTGAAAACCCCCAAACCCTGAAACTCAGAGAACAGGTGGGTGCTGGAGGGCCGGAGCGGCCGGGGGGGGGGGGCGGGGCGGGACAGTGAAATGGGCAAAGGAGGACAAAAGCCCAAACTTGCAGCTGCAAAATAACTCTGTCCCGGCAGCGTAAGGGACAGCGTGGTGACCAGGGTTGGTGACACTGCAGTAGGTAAATGAAAGTCCTCAAGAGAGTGAATCTGCAAGTCCTCATCACAAGAAGGAACAGTTTGTAACTTCGTACGGTGATGGGTGTTCACTCGATTGACGATGATCGTCCTGTAGTGTCTGCAGAGTGTGGCCCCTGCTGTCCCGCTCCCGGGACGTAGACCCCATCGTGTGTCAGTTATGCCTCAGCTTCAACTTCAACTTCAAAAAAAGTAAGAAGAGCTTTTCAGGTTTCTTGAGCACGTTTATATCTGAATAAGGCTGTTGCGTTAGCCTGGAATTCCCCTGCTTCAGGATTTGGTGAGCCTGTGGGTCTTGGTCCTGTTCCAGACCCTTTTACAAACAAGAGGCCGTTCACAAATGTACTTAAAACACCTATTAGGGAATTAGCTGTCGTCCCATTGATCGGCCTCACGCTGCCGTTTTCGCAGACACCTGGCTGAGTTTTGCTCCTTAGTGATAGGTTTTCTTTTCTCTCTTTTGTTCTTTGATTGTCTCCGGAGTTTCTGTGGTGCCCCAGTGTTTCTGAAACCATGTGTGCCCCGTTTCTGGGGGGGGGGCACGGGCTCTCACCCACAGGGTCCCCGTCTCTCCTTGGCTGTGCAGTGAGGGTGCTTGGGCCACAGGTACTAAGGATACGGGGGGACCCCATGTGTGCCCCCAAGAGAAGGAGGCGGAGGGTGTACGATGGGAGCGCAGCAGATCCGTGCATGGGAGGGGAACGGAGAACGAAGCTGCCACAGCCTCCTCTCGGAGGCTAAGTAGACGGCAGCTCTGGGACGCCCGCTGGCCCCAGCAGACAGGCGTGTGACGCTTGATGTTGGGGTCACGAGTTCGAGCCCCACGTGGGTGCAGAGATGACTTAAATAAAACCTTTAAGAAAACAGGTGGAGGGTAAGTCTGCTGGCTCCCGGCTGGGCATACGGTGGAGTCTGAGCCGCGGCCCCGAAGACGACCAGGCTTCCCAGCAGATGGGAGCTGTGGGGCCCGCGGGCTGGGCCCGGCAGAACTTCCTGCCCTCACGCCTGCCGCTCTGCACCCGATCGGAGCACCACAGACCGGCGCACCGTCCGCGTAGGGAGGTGGCGTCCCATTCGGCCCGAGTTTGGCCCGTGCGGCCTCGTCGCGCTGGGCTGTCTGGGGACCCTGTCCGCACAGGGTGGGTGTGCTCTCGGGGGGAGCCTTCGGTGAGGATGGGAAAGGCCTGTGCTGCGGGCCGGCTCCGTGTCCTCAGGGGCTAGAAGAGGGGGAGGCCTTGGGGATCTCACTGCCCTGTTCTGTGGTTCCCCAGGGCTCTCGGAGCCGCAGCCGTGAGCCATCTTCCTGCCTGAGCCGCGGCCTCGCTCCCCTCCAGACCGGGGGCTCCAGTAAGATGAGGGGGACTCCCTCCCTCCCAGAGGCTGGGGACCCTTCACGAGCTCCCCCAACATGTCACAGCCGCAGGTGTGAGGATCCCCGGGTGGTGCTGCTCCGCCCGCGCTCAGCCTGGGGGGCCGGGCACAGCGGGCAGGGTCGCGGCAGCCACCCTGTACACCAGGCCCGTGGGCGTGCGGCCACCATGCCGGCGCGCCTCCCGACAGAAGCACGGCCGCGGGCCTCCAGGGGCCTCTCCAGCCTGGCAGCCCCTGGTGAGGCAACTTCCCGCCGCGCTCCCCGCCATGACTCAGGAGTGGAAACGTCGTCGTCCCATGCGACGCGAGGCACACGTGCCGTCTGGTGCCGGATGCCGCGTGACACCGGGACAGCTCCAGCGCCGTCTGCTGCCGGCGTGGGAAGGTCTCCGGCGTGTCGCCGAATGGAAGAGCAAACCAGGGAGCGACGGCCTGGACCAGTGCGGTCGCTGGGATGATGTTGGGTGGGGTCCGGAGACCCTCCTTGTCGTTACCGTTGGGGAGTTGGGGGGCGCCCCACTGCCAGCATCTGGGGGCGCTGCTGAAGGCCTCCCGGCCCGGACAGCCCCTTACAGCGGCCCGGCCCGTGGGCCCCAGGCTCAGCGCTGCAGCCGGGAACCAAGTTTCGTCTGTGTCAAGTGCCGTCGGAGGCTTCGATCAGTTCACAGAGGTCAGAGGCCATCCCCGTGACGCTTCTGCCACGTTTCCAGAAAGGTCCTTGTGCCGCTCGTCCGTCCACATTCCCAGCCTCAGCTGGAGGCCGCCTCTCTCCCGTT